GAAAAACTATCCAAAAGTATCGAAATACATTTTGGTACCGGTACCAAAATGTTGGTATCGTGACAACACTAGTACAGACCAAGTAGTTGAGCGATGTATCAAAGTACCAATCAAAGCTGTCAGATGATCCACAATACACCGTTTTTACATCATGGTGGCTTTGCTTCTGGGAGCCGTCATGTCGTCCATCTTTATATGCAGTCAATGGTCAGTGCCAAGACAAAGTACAGAGTCGTATATTGTGAGACAGAGAGAGACCGGGCCAAACTGGAGCAGCAGTAGTGTTATGGAGGTACCTTGATGTCTGCACGCAGTTCAGTGAGCTGCTCCTCAGACATTGATGATGACTGGTCCGTCAGCCGTCTGAGCTCCTCGGCTTTCTTCTGCCGAGAGTTCAAGACCACCACTGAAACACAAAAATGTCATCTTTAACAGAAAATGCACCGTTTTATGAAGCTAACACAAAAGACCATCAACCTGTTTGTGCATTTTGTCCCGGTTTCAGAGATATGAGGTCCCATTAATTCATTTACTATGTTGTTAAATCTCCATGTCATCTTGTTAATTACTATGAATTAGGGCTGCAACTAACACATTTAGTTTGTCATTTTCAGTTTACGGCGATATCAGCAAAGCAAATCCTCAAATCCAAAAACAGAAATTTAAAGTTTTTCCACCATTTCCCTGTGATAAATGAGCCATTTTATTATCAAAATAGCTGCAGATCTAACTCTGACTAATTGTTTCAGCTCTACATGTTTTGTTGAACCGTCTAAAACCCCAAGATATTAAGTTAAAGGTAAAGAAATCCAGAAAATCCACACAGCTAAGAAGCTGGCAGCAGACATCATGTTGGATTTCTGCTTTTAAAATGACTTACTCTTTGATTAATGGATAAATCAACCATCTGTTTCAGTCTTGATGAAGAGAACAACCAATATTCCCTCTAAGTTTCGCTTTCCCCCTGACAATTCAGCCGTGACATTTTAAACTAACAAGTACAAAGTGCAGCTGATTCATCATCTATAGGTAAACAAAGGTCAAAGAAAGGTGTCGTGCATGCTCTCAGGTGAAGGCAGTAAATATATCTTTACATACGCTTAAAAAAACCTTTGTTCTACTTCAATTTGCACAATTGTGGATGCAAACAAGAAATTAACAACCATTTTCTAAAAGGTTTTTGTGTGTTGCAGATTTCTATCAATGGTGTTTAACTTTTTATAACCAATGGTTTGACAGCCAACAGTAACAGTAGACCAAATAATTAGTCGATTAACAAAATGATCGGCAGATTAATCAATGATGAAAACAGCAGCTGCAGTTGACATACTGGTATTTGTGACCACTAGCACCTACAAAGATGAACAAGGATCAATATATCCTGGACATACTATACAGAGAACAACTTTTTTGTTTAGATATACAAATGACAAATTAATGATTCAGATTCTGAGCTAATTATCAGTAACATCTTTCCTTCAGAAGAGCAAACGTTTGTAAGAGGATACCCATCAGTCACCCACGAGTGGAATGCAGGAAGGAAATTAGAGGAAGATGCCCTTTGACAAAACTTTGCTTCTGCAATGTCAACCAGTACCAGTTTCTTCGCTTTCCTATCAGTTCCTTACACAAAGACATCATTGAGTCTCCCTTGACACCTGACACTATTCACTTTTTCCAGGCCTGGAACATACAACACTACAAGGAGAAGAGTAAAAGAGAATGGCCTACTTGCACAAATATGCAATCATGCCCTATGACGTTAAACACACAAAGAGTAGTATGCTATAGACCTATCAGGACCCTGGGGGTACCACTTCAGGTCTGAAGAAACTGAGACTTGATGTTTCACAACATTCTTTTACTACTGTTCTGGAAATGATTCACATCAGCTCCTCCAAGCCCTTGAGTCAGGCGATCATATTATGCAAGGAATACTAGCAGCTCCTGGGTAGTATGTGACAATATCCATCTGGAATATACAATACTTACTGGCCTCCGCTTTCACTTTATCCATTTCTGACAGCAGAGTCACTTCTCTGTCCATTAAACTAGAAAAGAAAAGAGAAGAGGGGTCATTCCAATAAAGCCCACTCCAGAATAGCAGTATTGTGCACGCTGAATGTGCTATACAATTAGCGGAATATTCATGCAATAACACCCGAGTAAAGGTGCTACCACTGTTGCATTTCTGTTATCATTGATGAGCTGCTGAGACAACACACAAAAAGCTAAGGGAGAAAGTCAATTTTAAATTATGCTAAAAACTGCGCCATTACTTCTTCATAGTTTCTGATTCAAGCCTACTTAAAGGTACATTGGCAAGCTTTTGGCCACTGGAGCGGTGTGGGCCCCATTTAATTTGTATTGTGCACATGCACAAGGATGCAAATGGACTTCTGTGAGCACACAGGTGACATTCCTTTTAAGCCCTACATACAGTCTAAAGTGTTAAAATTTTTTGATTTAGTGGGATATAAGACTGCTGTGTTTATGTATAAAGCCAGGAACAATTTATTACCTGGTGGAATTCAAAAACTATTTAATGAAAGGGAAGGGGGATACAATTTAAGGGGTCAGTTAAATTTAAAAATTCATGCTATACTGTACGTACAACCAAAAAAAGATTCTGTGTTTCCATAAGTGGGGTAAAACTATGGAATAATTTAAGTGTAGACATAAAAAATAGTAATAGAATTGACGAGTTTAAACATAAATTTAAAAAGGTATGTGTCAATCAAGATATATGTAAGAACAGGCTTAATGATTAATCAGATGGAACATTGTGGGTGTGGTGAACATTTTGTAACCATTCTTTAGTATATTACTTGTGTGATGTAAGAATGTTAACACTATTATACTCTTTTTTTAGTATAATATGTGTGTGTGTAGAAGTGAATCATTTACTGCTTGCAAACCAATGATGTAAGATGATGTCATGGGGTAGGACTGGATAAGTCTCTCTCAAGACTTCTTCCTACTCCATTCAAGCATGTACTAGGTATAAGCACATTGATATTGGATTGTGTGTAAAATTATGTGTGTTGTTATATCAACTTTTTTATATGCTTGAAAGAATAAATCAAATCAAATCAAATCAAGCCCTGTTTCCACCAAAGGAACTTTTCCCCGGGGAACAAGGAACCTTTTGCTGAACCAGTTTCATCCACTCCCCTTTCTGAAGGTCCAAGAACTATCGGGGCAAGGCCTATAGTGTTACATTACTGATCGGTCAAATACAGCGCATGTGCCATTCTTACAACCCCGCTGCCAACCACTGGGCTTTTACATCTGGGGGCTAATTGTTTAGTCTTCCCAGGGCCTCAGCCCTGCTGTGGAAATCTAAATCACAATGAGTTCACTGGACCTTTACCCCAGTGACAGTTCTTGGACTTTAGTTCCTGGGAACAAAGTTTTAAAGTTGTTGGTGATAATGCAGAAAGAAGTGTAGCAATGCCCCAGGACAGACAGGGAAGAAGAACATCACATTTATCACTTTTGTTGATACATGCAACACGTTTAGTGAGGGACAATGAATTTGAAGCTGTTTGTTTGTTGACAAGAAAACTCCAGGGTACCTTTAAGGCGTTAGTATACTTCAGACAAAACATTTGTTGGATTTTCTAAAGTGTCTTGACAGTGAAACTGAAGTGTTTGAATCTGACACTTTTATCATTTTCTATAAAGACAAACATTATGCAGCAGACGACCAGGTGCGCAGACATAAGCAGATTTCCCTTAGGCTTTTCTTTCAGCCTGTGTTTGTCTGTGCGCAAACCAATGCAACAATACCAATTCAAAAGGTGACTGGCCATGTGAGGCTTTAGGAAAACATATAAACCAGGGATGTCTTAACACAATGCAATTCAATTTGCATAGCACCCAATCACAACAAAAGTTGACACTTTACGTAGTAAAGGTCTCCGCCCTACTATTAAGTACCTAAAAAAGTTTTGGGACTCCTTAATGGTTGATATGGTAGACAGCAGACTAGGTTGAAGCCTCCTCTGGCCAAGCCCACCGACTTCCATTTAGCTCCCACAAAAACAAATGGCATATAATTTACTAATACAGCCTTATGAGACTGTATGAATTTTATTGAACCTAATGGATCAAATTTTGATAATAAAAAATAATTCAAGGCAGAACTGGTTGACGAATCACACAAAATTTAAATCTAAGGTTTTGCACAGCTGTAATGGTGAAAACTGGGTTATCACAATTTGCATAAAAAGGTTACTTTTAGTCAAGAAGTATCAGGTGCTAATCAGGCTGTGAGTCATGACATGACTGTCAAACTGCAATGTGCTGTGCTTTATGGCACTGTTGTGTCATGTTGTGAATTTGCATGAGCAGGCAGGACAAACTGAAATACGATTCTGTGCTATTGGTTTGTGGATCAAAACTACCTCAGTCCAATGAACCATGAAGACATTACTTTGTTCAGGCTGTCCCTTCCCTCTGGGTAGAGCAGGCTAGGTAGCTGGAGCATTAGTGTGCAGACTTTGACTATTAAAAGTGGAGAACCATGCTTATTTAGCTGAAGCTGTCTGTAGTTGTATGGGATGTACTTTAAGTCATATAAAAGCATGTTTCAAACATGTTTCAGTCCTGCAGAGAAATAATCAACCATATTGCCCGGCCCTTTTTCAAGGTGTCTGAGACCATTGCTATTTTACAGTTTATCAGTTTTGTAAATGATTGTGTGTGGGAGAAAAAAGGTCTTCTTTGGACAGTGTGCGTAACATGATCCCGCCACAGACTCTGGCCACTACACCGGAATCACCTCACAGTCCAGAGCTGTTTCTGGGAACCTGGCTTAAACACGCCTGCCTTTAGATGGCTAGATAACACATTGTTCATCCTAGTTCAAGTGTACGGTTTATAGTCATGACCCGTCTCTCTCCATTTATTGGAGAGTGCACAGAGCTGAGCGTCGAGCTAAATGGATAGAATATCAACAGGAAACCACAGCATCATGTTTCAGCTTTTCAGAGAATGATGAGGCTCTCTGTGAGAAAGGAGACTAATTCCTCACAACCTATGTAGTTAATTAAAGAAATATATATTTGAGCAATACATGCAAACATAGTATAGATTTTTCTTCCCACACTTTTTTCCCCCCGACACATTAAGTTTTGGCATCGAGTACACCTGATACTCCTTTTCTAATTAGGTTAGATTAACTCCAGCGAAACATCAATCCACTACCATCAATTAGCTAGTGAGCTACTGAGCCACTGCTTGCATCCTCAGAAACAACCAGATTCTCTAAGAAAGATCAACAAAGTAATCTGACCTCACCTGCTTGTCACGCTCCAAACTGGTGACTGCAAAGAGCTGAGGTTTTGTATTCATATTTGTAATTCTGTAACATGTACCGTATAATATTTGTACTGACACACTGGAGGTTTAGGAAAAGCAACTAAGGTTCAACATGTATCATCACAGACGTAGGTAAGAAAAATGCCCTTTGCCTCAGTGATAGTACTCAAAACCTATAAAGATGCAGTAATACCTGCTCCACTTAAGGAATTATGAAACAGGATCTTAAGAATAAATATCACAGAATACAAAATTTGTATTTCAAATAGCCCTTTGCACCAAAATACTTTCAGGAACTATAAACCCGGAGGAGCTAGAAACTGAAAATCCCTTTTGTCTGTCTTTCCGCTGTATCCAACAAGCCGTGAAGATTAAGCAAATTAGACATGACAAATTAAAAAAAAAACCCACAATGCAGACTAGTTTTCATGGAGGATACAACACAGACCACATGTTGATCTTTATACTTAGTGCTGTGGGACTTGTGTTTGAGGTGAATGTGATGAATGAATTAATAAATTAATGAATAGGATATGCAGAAGTGGAATGGAGACTGGAGAACACTGCTCTGCATAATACTGTAGATGATCTGCTAACAGCTCTTTATTTCTGCTTTAAATTGCACATTCACTTATGTGCACCCCGGAGAAGCAACTACCATGAAATTATCAATAAGTAATATTTTATTCTTCTCCTTCACTCACTTTGTCACTGCTGCTCCTCTCTCCACTGACTGACTAGCTCTCTCAACTGCCTTTCATTTGCTTATGCACTCAGCTAGAAGTTTCTGTCCAACCCTCATCTTAATATTGGTTCAAGAGTACTCTGTTGTATTATGAATGAAGGTGTGCACAAGTTGAAAAAGCTGTTTGACCAGTAAGTGACAGTCAGCCCTCCAAATCCTGAACCACAACAAAGTACTGCTCTCAGGGCAGGGACACCTGAAACTACTTTACTGGAACTAAATTTAGCCCCCAGTTCTATATGGTCAAACACCCTAAAAGGTAGGGTTGCACTGCATTTTTTAACAGGAATCAAATATTTTACTACCTCAAGATTCAGCCTTAGCCACGACCAGAGAGAGAGATTTTAAAAGAAATATACGTACCAGCTCTGAAGCTCAGCAAACGTCTGCTTCATCCTTTTGATTGAGGAGTCCATCTCCTCTTTGACCATCATCCTGTAGCGAGTCAGCGAGGCAGTGCATCTCTGCAGGTCCTTCACAGAGCGGTCAATATTGGAAGCTGATGGATAAACCATTAAACATTAAAAGATGACTTACTGTATACATACGCTGAAGAAGTGCTACGCCACATTTTCTCCCATGTTAGGATTTACCCATTCTGGTAAAAGCTCAGAGCACATCCTCATATAACAACCTGACTACAGACTACATGCAGGAGAAGATTCACAAGGTTTTCCCTAGCATAGAAAGGCTTAGGCGCGGCACCTGTGCATTTTTGCGTAACCCAAAGGAAAGTAAAAAGGCAACATATCAGAATCAATAAAAAAATGATGCTGAATTATGTGTGCTGATAAATAAATAAATAAATGAAATGTAAGCTGCAACAGGATAGCCCCAGCTTGTGACTCTCTTGTATTACATACACTAAGATTAACCTAAATTGATGACAGGATCAAATGAAACTTGCTGTTTGTTGTCTGCTTTGTGACCTCGCTACAGACATCTGAGCTAGACAAAGATCGTTTATGAAGTAAAGAGGCTTCACTCTGTAACACCACAGAATGAACAGCGTTTCTCTTTAGTTCCAATAACTCCAGTGTGAGATGTCTTCACCAGTAAAACCATCAGCTGTAGCATATTCTGCAGGATGGTGTACATGTCGTCTGTTCATCGATTCAGTTATATTACATAGGAACAAATCCTGCATTTCGGTTAGTGTTGCTTTTTTCTTTTAAACCCAAAGTGCTGCCACATGGGCAAAGGGGAACTTTTAGCTGCTTCCACAAAGAATACATGAAGTAGGCTACAACTTTGTTGGCTGGCGAGTAATTCTTGTGAATAGTAATAATAGAGATAGCTGAATGCAGCCTAAATAAGTAAAACAATTGCTAACGAAGCTATTAGAATTTAGTCAGAATTTCCTAAGCACTCTGAAAACCCAGTAAAACCCCTGATTTATGAGACACAGTAAGAGGTAAAGATGTCTAACCCATCTTCTTAACTCCTGACGATCCATGTTCATCAGCAGTGGGTGGGAATGAAGACGTGAGGGGATGCGAATGAGAGCCTGGCCTGTGCCGGGTCTTGTTGCCTCTGGGACCCTGGTGATTCCTCCCCCCTTGCTGAGAGGCGGACCTTGGAGTGCTAACTTGACTTTCTGCGTCTGCACCTGAGAAGGCACATTATGACAAATAGAGCTAAGTAGTTTCAACACTAACATCACCCAAACCCCTCTAAAAATAGGGATGAGCCAGAATAGTCGACAGGTCTGTAATTTATCCTTTTTAAACTCCTAAGACTCATAATAATTATATCACAAAAACATTTTTTCTTGAAATTAGATATAATTACTATTATTATCCAGGAGAGGAGATCAACATTTAACTGATTCCTAATTACAGAACAATATACCCATATACTCAACGCAACACAAAAGGAATTAGGCCTCATTAAAAAGTCTTTTTTGTATTTTTGTCCTAAATCTCCATTTCTTTGAAATTTGTTCCTACGGGTGTTCAGTTTTTTCTAAGTTTTTTCAGTTTACTATGACTTGGATGACTGAGAATCTGCACAGACATATTTGAGAAGTAGTTTCATTCACAAACCCAAAGAGAACAAAACAAGAATTTCAACATCACAGACAAGACTTGGTGCTCTCTTAAAACTTCTTCATATCCCTCAGCACTGGGCTCTTTCGGCTTTTCTATTCATCTCATTGTGGTTGAAGAGCAGCTTTTACCGGTGGTTTCAGATGTAGCGGGTTCAGAGTCCAGCTCGGCCGCATCCAGGGAGGCAGAGTCCAACTGTTCACTCAGAGAATCCAGCGACTCTCCATCCATTACAGATCCGTTGGCGTGAAAGCCATTCATCTCATCCTTGCTCTCCTCAGGTGACGGGGCCTCAGGTGGAGCAGCCTCTGCTGAGGCCTCAGGCTGAGGTTTGGGCTTCTTTTTCTTCTTAGGCTGGACATGGAGAGATTAATGTCAAACTCTTTTGTTCAGATTCTCTGTGTTTATTATCTGTGTCCTGATATTCTATTCTGTCTGACAGAAGAGTTTTCATATTTACATTTGTACCAAAAACAGTGGTCACTAGTCTAAATGGCCTTAAACTTTACAAATAATGGACACTTTAAACATCAAGTTTTAAAAAAAGAAAGCAATTTCCAAACTAAGAGTAACATAAATATGCTAAGTGAACAAACAGGCATTCAAGATGGAGGCTTGCTGGCTCGTACCTTCTTTTTTCCAGTGACATTCCACTCCTTCAGGATCTCAAGTGCACTGCCTGCGGTGTAAAGCAAACAGTGATGATGAAAGTACACAGTGACGCATAAAAGGATTTTAAACCCTACGGTATCCATCTCACCATCTGAGTGTCTTGAGGTGTTGTTTAGTTACTAAATAAGGAACAAAGCATTCTGATGTTTGGGAGAGCCTTTCTGTTCTATAATTAAACCAGCAAAACTGGAGGCATGCAGATGACGCTGAATGCATGAATGCCAAGCATGGAATGCATGACCAAAAAGAATTAAAGGTTGTCATGGTTAAGTGGAATAAACATGGGCGGCATGCCAGGACAACAGGTCTCACTTACTGCAAATGCAGTAAGCTAACAAGGTACTGTTGGACATATGTGGACGTGTAGTGGCACAGTCATTTGTGGAAGCAGCAATCACATGTAATGATGTAGATTACCCTAAATGTTTATCTTCATGTAGTCTAATTATGACTGTCTTCAAAGCATAGCTGTGTTAAAACATGCAACTTGGCTAGGTCTCAAAGACATGTTTGAGGGGCAATTATTCCCCATTCTGGAGGTCAAACACTGATGTCCACATACCGTCTAAGAAAGCTTGAACAGCCCTGTCAACGCTGTTCTCAAAATGCTGCAACACCAGCACAATCTCATTGTTGCTCTTATTGGGGACAACTGCCCTGACAGCACTGATCTGTAAAACAAGCACAAGGTATGAAAGGAACAGGTTTTAATATCATCTCTAATTCACTGAAGGTGATTCAACATTGACTCTAAATTCACACTGAAGAGTGTTAACATTACATAACATTCATCTTAAGAACACAGCGCTGTACTTTGTGTCTTATTCACAGACTACAAATGGGAAAATACAAATATTACAACGGTCATTGGTCTCATCCAAGACGACTTAGACGGGAGGTTGTAAAGTCCTTCAAGTTCCTGGGTTCCACTATCTCCCAGGACCTGAAGTGGATGTCCAATGTCAGGGCCATCATTGAGAAGGCACAGCAGAGGATGTACTTCCTGCTCCAACTCAGGAAGTTCGACCTGCCCCAGGAGCTGCTGATACAGTTCTACAGAGGAATCATCGAGTCTGTTCTCTGCACCTCCATCACTGTCTGGTTTGGCTCAGCAACCAAACAAGACAAGTACAGACTTCAGCGGACAGTAAGGACTGAAAAGGTCATTGGTGTGAGCCTGTCCTCCATGGAGGACCTGTACACCTCACGGGTCAAAAGGAGGGTGGAGAGGATCACTGCTGACCCCTCACACCCTGGACACAATCTGTTTGAACTCCTCCCCTCTGGACGGCGTTACAGGTCACTGTGCACTAAGACAACCAGGCACAGGGACAGTTTCTTCCCCCGGGCTGTCGCTCTGATGAACACTTAACCCACGACAGTATGACTGGACGATAACCCTCAGTGCAATACCTGTAAATACACATTGTACAGATTCGTATTATCCATAACTAAGATTACTGTTTTTGAATATCAAAAAATGTGTCATCAGTTTTGGCACCAACTCTAAAGTCATTTACTTTTGGTGTCAAGTCCACAAGACTAGTACAAAGCCAAATAACCTGCCATGGAAACTAGGTCTGTACCCGACTGTCAGTAGTCGGCTCTTCAGTGCGACTACTCGCTCTTTTCCATTTTAATATATGTATAGACGATTTCAGTGTTAACATTAGATGGAACGAATGATGGGAACATGTTTCTGAGCATTTAAAAATCAATAAAAGACAGTTTCATATGATGCGGTATTTAAATTGACGATATACGTATAATGTCGGGCTGCTATGTGGATTTGTCGGAGTAAGGAGACAGGCAGCATGCTTCAATTTCTGTTGAAACAATGCTCTTATAGGCCATTTGCAGGTGTGGCAGGGGATTCAGCATTTAACCAATCATAGATCACACCTTGCTGCTGTCGACGGGGGCCCTTCACTGGCGGAGGAGTTGAACCTCTTCTTCGCCCGTTTTGAGGTGGAGCCACCAGAGACAGCTGTATTACAGCTATCAGCCCACAGCGGCCCCTCCCACAGGGTGGAGGAGTATGAGGTGAGGCGCACGCTGAGGTGTGTGAATCCGAGGAAGGCTGCTGGACCTGATGGCATCGCTGGTCGGGCGCTGAAGGACTGCGCAGATCAATTGGCGGGGGTCTTTACCAAGATCTTCAATCGGTCCTTACACCAGTCTATTGTCCCACCTTGCCTCAAGTCTTCAACCATTGTCCCTCTGCCCAAA